ATAAAATAATAACTATACTAAAGGAAGACATGGGTACATTTTTATATCATCTTATATTGAAAAAGATCTTTTTCAGCAGAGCAGCAATCAATGAAAAAAGTAAAGAAATAACTGATTTAGCTAAATAAAAAATATTAAGTTTGGGAGAGCAAGAAATACCACAAAACTAAATATAAGTTAGGAAAAAATGTTTTTAGTATTTGATAATAAAGAATTAGTACCCTTAATATGTAAAGTAGTCCCTCAAACCAATAAAAAGGAGCACCTCATTTTTTAAAAGAACAAATTATTCACAAAATGGCTAAAAGAACAAATATTCAACCTCCTTAATTATCACAGTTACAAGTTATGAATCCATTTTAAATAAGTGAAGCTAGGGACGCCTGGGTGGCTCAGCAGTTAAGCATCTGCCTCTGGCTCAGGGCATGATCTCGGAGTCCCAGGATCGAGTCCCAGGATCGAGTCCCACATCAGGCTCCCTGCAGGGAGCCTGCTTCTCCCTCTGCCTGTGTCTCTGCCTCTCTCTGTCTCTGTGTCTCTCATGAATAAATAAATAAAATATTTAAAAATAAATATATATATGTGAAGTTATAAAACAATTATTAAATCCACTGATATCGTGGGTATAGGAAAACAATTCTCAAATAAAATACTTGAGGGGGTTCTAAATCGGTATAACCTTTTCAAAAGTCAATATAGATAAAATTCTTTAAAATGTCAAGCCCTTTGACGGAGTGATTTCTCTTCAAAGGTATACTCATTTCCTGTATCTAGTGTCACAAACCAACACAAACTTGGTCACTGAAAACAACAAAAATTTATTCTCTCACAGTTCTAGAAGTCATTAGTCTAAAATCAAGGTTTCAAGTAGGGCCATACTCCCTCTGGGGGCTCTCAATGAAATTTCATTCCTTGCCTCCTCCAATTTCTGATGGCTGCCAGCATTCCTTGGCTCAAGGCCACATCATTCCAATCTCTGCCTCCTTCTTCACATGGCCTTCTCTTCTGTGTGCCTCTTCTCCCTCTGCCTCTCTTTTATGGGCATACATATGATGGCATTTAGAGCCTTCCTCCATATTCCAGAATTATCTCATTTTAAAACCCTTAACTTACATATGCAAAGACCCTTTTTCCAAATAAGGTAAAATTGACAGTTTCTAGGGATTTGATGTGCACATCTCTTGGGAGGCCATTTTTTCAACCGGTTTTCAACCTAATTTTTCATTTACCAAAGAAGTTCACAATAGAATAATTAACCCAAGGATGTTACTACAGCATTATGTACAATTGGAAAAAAAACGAAAAACAAAGAAAATAACCTAAATAGTTAACAGCAGAATATTAGTTAAATAAATTATGGTACATCTATGTAAGGAATCATTAAAAATAATGCTGACAGAGCATAAGGAATATAGTCAATGATACTCTAATAGTGATATATCAGGACAGATGGTAGCTGTACTTGTGAAGAGAGCATAACGTATAAACTTGTTGAATGACTGTCATACACCTGAAACTAATGTAGCCTTGTGTGTCAACTATACTCACATTTTTTCAAATTTTTTAAAATGCTGATGTAAACTGTACCAGTTATCTATTGCTACATGCAAAAGTCACCTAAAATGTAGTGCCATGCAGTAATAATTACTGCAGGCAAGATCTACCAATGGATGCTAACAGTAGTGGACAAAAGTTTGAGGAGAAACAAGATATTTACATAACCTTAAAGTATCTTGCCCGAGACATGTATAAATTATAAAAGGAAAATTAGTAACTTTCCAATAGAGAAACCTGGCAGACACCAACTTAACCAAGTTTTCAAGGTTACCATTGGCAGTAATATGAGGCGTTAACTCATGACACCGGGCACATGACTGAGTGAGAGCCCATAACTGCTGGAGTATTCTTGCCAAAATGCATCAAGGGAAAGCTTCACACAAACATAAATTAAATGATATTTTACAAAATGGCTGACCAGTACTTTCCAAATGTGTCGAGATCATAAAAAACAGGGAAAGACTGAGAAATTATAACAAATTAGAAGAGACTAGGAAAATATGATAACCAAGGGTAAAATGGGATCCTGGGTTGGATACTAGAAAAGAAAAAAGGACATTAGCGGGAAAACTGGTGAGATTTTAAGAAGGCCCTAAATTAATTTAAATTTAATTAACAGTATTATACCAACATTAACTTCTTAGTGTTGATCATTGCAAAGTCCACCATTAAACAACACGGAAGTTAGGGATGCTGCCTCCCCATGTAGTCGAACATCTGGGTGTAACTTTTTTGATTCCCCAAAAACTTTACTAATGGTCTGTTAACTACAAGCCTTACCAAGAATGTAAACAGTTGATAAACATATATTTTGTATTAAGTATTATATACTTAAATTTAAGTATTGTATTCTTAAATAGAGTACGCTGGAGAAAAACGTTGTTAAGAAAATCATAAGGGGGTGCCTGGATGGCTCAGGCAGTTAAGTTTCTGACTCTTGGTTTTGGCTCAGGTCATGACCTCAGGGTTGTGAGATCAAGCCCTGCATCAGGTTCCATGCTCAGCACAGAGTGTGCTTCTGATTCTCTCTCCCTCTCCCTCCCTCTAGTGGCTCTCTCTCTCAAATAAGTAATAAATAAATCTTTAAAAAAAAAAAAGAAAGAAAAGCATAAAGAAGAGACAGTGCATTATAGCATTGTAGGGTAAAAAAATCCGCGTGTAAGTGGGCCCATGAAGTTCAAATCCATGTCATTCAATGACCAACCATGCTATGGTTATACAAATTGCTAACATTAGGGGAAACTGAATAATGTCCAAGGTTGCCCCTTCATTCACATGTCGGCATGTTAGTTTCCAAGGGCTGCTGTCACCAATAACTATGGAATAGGTGGCTAAAAACATGTCTGGAAGTTAGACACCTGAAATCAAGATGTCAACAAGGCCATGCTCCTCTGAAGTCTCTAGGGAAGAATCCTTCCGTGCCTCTCCCTAGCTTCTGGTGGCTCCCAGCGATCCTTGGCATCCCTTGGCTTGTAACTGCATCGTCTCATCATTGCCTCTACCTTCACGTGACCTTCTTCCCTGTGTCATTGTGTCTCTGTGTCTCTCTGTGTCTTCTCCTCTTCTCCTCTCATAAGAAGACCAAACATTAGATTTAGGGCCCACCTAATCTACTGTGGCCTCATCTTAATTAACCACATCTGCAAAGATGTGATTTCTGAATAAGGCCACTTTCTGAGGCTCCAGGTAGACATGAATTCTGGTGGGACACTACTGAACTCACTACAGGTGGGAATCGGCCAGCATCACCCCCTCTGTGCAGCCCCTCCATATGGCTAGTTTGGACTTGCTCCTGGCAGGGCAGCCTCAGGGTAGTCTGACCCCTTCCAGGATGACTCACTTTCCTCCAAGGGAGCCTTCTAAGAAGAGAAGCAGAAACTGCCAGTCTATTTTAATGGCTAAGGCTGGAAATGGCATAGGATTGCTTCTGCTGCATTCTATCGGTCAAAGTAGTCCCAGCCCAGCCCAGACTGAAAATACAGGAAGAAACTAACCCTGTCCCTCAGTGAGGACTGGAATGAACATACATAGAAGGAGGGAACAGATGGAATCAGTTCCAAACATCTTGGAAACAAACCACCACACAGCGCTGCTCTTGCTGACAGCTAAAGGTACTTATGACATACAAATTAATAGAAAACAGATTACAAAACACCATATATATAATTTGATCTCTATTTTTTAAATATATATGGATATTTACATAAAACAGTCTCAAAAGATAAAGAGAAAACAAAAATAACAATAATGATTATCTCTACAAGAGTTGAGGTGATTTTTTTCTTCCTGTTTACCAATATTTTCTAATACAGATTACACATGTGTTATTTCAATAATAGAAGTATACAGTAAATGATTTATGATTTTAACAGGCAAATAGTTTTTTGTGTTTTAATTAGGTTATATGAATTGTAAATTTGTAAATCTATCAAGGAAAAACTCAGAAAGACTCTTAAAAAAAAAAGTCCTTCGTCATAGAAAGGGCAACCCAGATAGGCACCCACCTTCTTGGGGAGAAACATTTCATGCATTCCAAACCCAAATCCTTCAGGCCCTAGCAGCTTCTGAGCTCTCAATGCTGGGTCTAGGAAGAAAGAAACCTAAAGGAATTTTGCTCATATCAAAGCTTGTGCTAAACAGCTGCAGGAATCTGAGTAGAACCCTGAGACGTTCACTTTCCAAAAGACAGATGGCTCCCAGGATTCTCAAGGAAATCAGAGGCCCTTGCTCAGAGGTGGTCTTACCCCTGAGCAGTACTGATAACCACTTATGCGATGGAGGTTAAAGGATTTCCAAAGTGTCCTGCCAAAACATATCAAACTGCTTCCCAACCCCTAAAATTTTCACCACTATGTAAGTAAGTTAAAGATTACATGATTCCATAATACTTCTGCAGATGAAGAAGGAGGAAGAGAAGATAAAGGAGGAGGACGAGGAGGAGGAGGAGGAAAAGAAGAATCATAAAGATATGTAAACACAAGGTTGGAAAGTAGAAACATGCACAGTTAATTGGCTGGTGTCAAAAGCAAGACTAAAAGAGAACAGGAAATAGGACAAATCAGTAATGGGTTTTTATTAAAGGGGTTGCAGAAGCCTGAGAGGGACACTCATGGGAGGATTCTAGGGAGTTAGGAAACTGTCTGCATAGACTGGGTGTCTAGAGGCAACTAAGAGGCATAAAAAGTAAAGAAAGACAAAGACACACTTTGTCTCTCTCCCAAGTTTTCAATGCCCTGTCCTCCACATTCCTTGAGCAGATACAAACCCTAGAAGCCTCTGAAATATACACTCAGGACACTTCCATATAATCCGATCTAATGTGATCATTTCCCCTAAAGTACTTTAGGCTCCAAGAAAAAGAAAAAATAGCTGAACTGGGAATTTTACTTTAATCCAAATAATCTATGACTCTGAGATAAAAAACAAAGACAAATTTAACTCACTGGCAGTTCCTTCTGATGCAGGAGTCAAAGCTAGAAACTTTTTGGTATTTTCCATCTCCTCGTTACTTTGCAATGCTTCACTATTTTTTGCAGACTAATAAAAGAGAAACAAGTTTAAACATGGGGAAAAAAGACAACTATACTCATCGATATGTTTTAAAATTCCAACATGGATTCCAAATTGTGTACACACAAGCAAGAAGGTCATTTTTTATTACTTTAATTAGGAAATCTATTAGTATTCCTGTTCCCACAAAATCCTAGGAATAAGTGTTCCCAAATAGAGTTGGAATGTACATCTATTAAAACATAATAATTATCTTGCTTAAATCTTCTTTAGCTTCTGTTTAATATTTCTGTAACTAGTGAGTAACCTAGAGGTACACTACCAATTACAGTTTCAGACATTTCAAGATTGATAATGTATTTCATTATGGGTCCAGTTACAATTCCTGTTTCCAAACAAGTAAAAATTTGCTTTGAGATGCAGTAAGAGTAAATGATAGACTTTTTCTGCTAAGATTTACACAAATAATTTCTCTAGTTTAAAGCACTGCATTTTGTATGGTGCTTTCTTTCTACCCTGTGATCTTCCTGGGAATCTTGCAAAAATGTATTCTCATTACTTCATTATTAATTCATATTATTGTCTAGGAAGTTTCCTGGAAGTCAATCAGCTGATCAAGCAGGACTTTATCGAAAACAATCAATCTGTTATTGCAATATTCCTTACTTTAAAAGTGCTCTCCTTTAAGGGGCAAAGTTCATATATGAGAAAGGCTATACATCAAGTCAGTGCAAACATCTGGTCAACTTCCACCTCTCAATACTACAGAGAATAAAAGGTCTGAGAAGGCCAAGGAAAGTTAACGGAGCATCAGAAATGTATTAAGATAGATGCAAATACAGCATGGTCACAGACCATAAGCACTTAGCAGTTTCTAAGAGTTCCTGACCAGCATATGAAACAGTGAACTCCTCACTACTTGGTCACAGAAGTTAACTCAAACAATAATGGTAACCAGGGGTTAAATGTTTGTATATTTATGTATTTATCTCCAAACTGTAAGCTTGCTGAAGAGAAAGCAGACATATATACTCAATATACACAGGTGCCACATTACTTTCTATTCCAAAGATAGAGGAACTCCAGCCTGACACTGGGAATAGAGATCTACTGCACTGTGGAAAACGAACATGCCAAAGCAGTGCCTAAAACCTGGAATGCTGCAAGGTTACCTTGTCCAGTTCCAGAAAACTATCTACCTCCAGAAAACTGTCCTTATATGGGCATATACACACCACTGTCCTACTTCCTCCACAAAATAAATCAGTAAGGGCAGACCATGCTGATATGACCACGGTCCACACATTTCTTATTCATCTTGGAGGAAACTGTTTCTTCCATTTTAGCATATGGTTGGACAATTCTTACCTTAAGTTCTTCCCACAGCTTTATTCTCATGTCTAGACCTTGCTTCTTAATTTCTTTTTCTCTATATTGTCTCTTCACCAATATCTTATCAAGCCTCTTCATCTTCTGAATAGCATCTTGAAGTTGAGAATCTAATTCTTTTAATTCAGGTTCATCTATATTGTTTGAAAGTAGGAATGAGCTTAAAGTTTAGTACAACCATAAAGTTTTGTTTTGTGTTTACTATTTGTTCTTTCATTCAACACATGTTTACAGCTCATGAGAATAAGTAACACTAGTGTCATGTATCTTGATTTACAAAGTGCTTTCACATATATTTTTTCCTATAATTATTGAACAACCCCATGAAATAGACATTTATCTCTGTTTTATGGTTGAAATAACTGGGTCTTTTCTTTTTTCCCTTTTTAAATTTTTTTTATTTGAGCATAATTGACACACAATGTTACATTAGTTTCAGGTGTACAACATAGTGATTCAAAACTCTATAACATGCTATGCTCACTACAAGTATAGCTACTATCCGTCACCATACAATGCTATTACAATACTGTTGACTAGAAAAAAAAAACCATTAACTGAATTCCCTATTTTATTCTCATGATTTACTAATTGCATAGCTGGAAGCCTGTAATCTCTCACCCCTCTTCACTCATTTTGCCCATCCCCACTAATCCCTTTCTTTCTGAAAACTATCACTTTGTTCTCTGAATGTATAGGTCTGCTTCTGCTTTTTTTTATTTATTCATTTTTGTTTTTTAGATTCCACATATAAGTGAAATCATATGGTATTTGTCTTTCTCAGTCTGACTTATTTTAATTAGCATAATACCCTCTAGGTCCGTCCACATTGTCACAAATGACAAGATCTCATCTTTTTATGGCTGCCTAATAATCCATTGTGTGTGTGTGTGTGTGTGTGTGTGTGTGTGTGAATATATACCACATGGACACTTGAACTGCTTCCATATCTTGGCTATTATAAATAATACAATAATCATAGTGATGTGTATTTCTTTTCAAATTAGTGCTTTCATTTCCTTTTGGTAATTCCAGTAGTGGAATTCCTGGGTAATATGGTATTTCTATTTTTAATTTTTTGAGAAACCTCTTTACTGTTTTCACAGTGTCTGTACCAATTCATATTCCTACTAACAGTTCACAAGGGTTCCTTTTTCTCCACATTCTTGTTAACATTGGAAATAACCAAATCCTTTCTTTTTTTTTTTTAAAGATTTTATTTACTTATTCATGAGAGACAGTGAGAGAGAGACAGAGATACAGGCAGAGGGAGAAACAGGCTCCCCATGGGGAGCCCGATGTGGGACTTGATCCCAGGACCCCAGGATCACAACCTGAGCCGAACGAAGGCAGATGCTCAACCACTGAGCCACTTAGGTCTCCCACGTCCTTTCAAACAGCTAAAAAATTATGGTATTGAACTTAGAAGTGGGTCTCATCTAGTTTTCAATCCCAAAATATTTCTCCTTCATTCTGCTATACCTTCTATTATTCACAACTAAAAAATAAGGAATAAGACAAAGACTCTATCCTCAAGCTGCTTCAGACTAAAAGAAAGGCATGTAGCTCTTTGTGAAACAGCAGTAAAATGTAGCATATCCAGACACCAAGTGGTTCCAACATACAAAAACAAATTCAGGAAAGTACTCCATGTAACTGGATACCTTTTATCTATGCCCTTCTCATTTGTTTTATTTTCTTGAAGTGCCTAAAAATGGATAATTGGTAGTAACTTATTTGAAATTAAGGACTCTTTAGAACTTTTTTTTTTGTAAAGATTTTATTTATTTATTCATGAGAGACACAGAGAGAGAGAGAGAGGCAGAGACAGGCAGGGGGAGAAGCCAACTCCACACAGGGAGCCCAATGTGGGACTCGATCCTAGGTCTCCAGGATCATGTCCTGGACTGAAGGTGGCGCTAAACCGCTGAGCCACTGGGGCTGCCCTCTTTAGAACTTTCTTCCCTCAAGTTTTAACTTATATTAATGATAATAGTAAGGAATAGCAGCTAACATTTATGGAATTATCTGATAGGCACAGTGTTAAGTACTTTATAGGTATTATCCCATTTATTCCTCATCATAATCCTGTGAAGCAGTATAAGTATTGTGTCCATTTTGGGATGCTTGTGTGGCTCAGCAGTTGGGTGTCTGCCTTCTGCTTAGGACGTGATCCCAGGATCCCGGATCAAGTACCACATAGAGGAGCCCGCTTCTCCCGCTGCCTGTGTCTCTGCCTCTCTCTGTGTGTGTCTCTTATGAATAAATAAATAAATAAATCTTTAAAAAAATTATTGTCTCCATTTTACAAATTAGTAAACTGAGGCTAATTTGTAATGAACTACATATATGTCCAAGATGATATAACGAGTAAATGGCAGAGTCAGTTTCCACCCTGATCTGATTTGACACCCAAAACTCTCTACCTCCAGGAGATACATCCTCTGTGAAGTCTGATGAAAGATGACGATCTGGCAATGAGCATAAATGCTCAAATACTAAAGTCTCAGCCATTCCAGGTTAGATCATTAGGAATGGCATATTAATGCTAAGAAAGGTCACATTTTGCAGCTTTTTAAAATCCAAAGAGTCCAGTGTGTTTCTCCATAATGTATATCACTTCCTCTTAAGAAAAAGGTGATATTTCCAAAAGGGAATGAGCTTATACAAAAAAGAATACTAATCTTATTAATAAGGAGGCTCTGCAAACCTTAATGCTAACTTATTTCAAATATAACAACTTTTAGTTCTAGTTCCCAACTACCACCCTAGCACTCTTGGGCTCCATAGACATAGGTGGTCTATATGACAGGAACTCATGCATGAAGAAACTCATACAGTTCTGAAACAGTATAAAACAAGTACAGTGTAAACTGGGCCAACAGCAGAACGCCTGGGGTGGTTCAGTGGGTGGGACATCTGACTCTCGATTTTGGCTCATGTCATGATCTCAGAGTCGTGAGATCAAATCCAGGAGTCAGGCTCTGTGCTCAGCACAGAGTCTGTTTGTCCCTCTCTGTCTGCTCTTCTCCTTACTTAGGCCCACACATCTGTGCTCTCTCTGTCTAAAATAAATAAATGAGGGATCCCTGGGTGGCGCAGTGGTTTGGCGCCTGCCTTTGGCCCAGGGCGTGATCCTGGAGACCCGGGATCGAATCCCACGTCGGGCTCCCGGTGCATGGAGCCTGCTTCTCCCTCTGCCTGTGTCTCTGCCTCTCTCTCTCTCACTGTGTGCCTATCATAAATAAATAAAAATTTAAAAAAATAAAATAAAATAAATAAATGAGATCTTTAAACTGGGCCAACAGCTAATCTCAATTATAATGCCTCATGTCCTGAACACTGTAATCCTGAGTTACCTGGCCCAATCTTGAGAGCTAACCTCATCCCAAACATACTCTAAGTCAGTAGTTCCCTTTATAGCCTTAAAATTTTTTGAGAACCCAAAGTAACTTTTGTTTATGCTATCCCTATTGACAATTACCATGTGAGAAATCAAAACTGAAAAATTAAGATTTATTCATTTTAAAACAACAAATATGTTATTAGTAATCACATGTTAACATAAATAAAGCACCTTATGATAAATAACTATATATCCCAAAAAATTACTAAGAAGAATGGCGTTGTTTTAAATATTTAATATGTAGCTTAACACAAGACAGCTGGATTCTTATATCTGCTTGTACAATCTATTGCAATCTCTTATTTCAGTTAGAGCAAAGAAGAAAATTTGGCCTCATAAAGACATGTACTTGAAAAGGGGAGGAGAAATGTAATAACCTTCTCAGATAATTGTGGATATCCTTCTTTGATACTACATCAAAACTCAAAAAGAGGGAGGTAGTTTCTTAAAAAATAGTTGTAATGTGAAATCTGTAACCGTACCAGCAAGCTTTTTGTATTTGTTCTATTAAAATCCATGCATCTATCTTTCATGCTGAATGGATCTTTTACCCTGCCTTGGTCATTTGGAAAACAGTGGTTCACTGAATTATTCAATGTGTTGAAATATAAACACACTTCAGTAGACAATATTTTTTAAAATCACACTGGTTAATATTGTCATCAAATTGTATTAGAAAAGTCTAAGTATTGGAAAGCTGTCAATCCCACAATGGCATATACAAGTTTTCCAAAAATCTAATTTTCACTTGAAAGCCCAAATTTTATCATTGACCAAAGATACTGTCAATTATTTTCCTTGAAGTAACAGGCTCATTTCATTTTAAAAAATAATGGCTGTCTAATATCCAAGTCTGATTGATAATAGTTTGTCTGTCTGTCATACTTTCACGTAAGAATGGTGTTCCATTAAAAAGTGGCCAGTTCAGGCTCACGGTGTACAGGGTTGGGCGCGGGCACCCCAACTGGCACTGCAGGCCAAAAAAAAAAAAAAAAAAGTGGCCAGTTCAGTTCTCACCATAAACTATCATACAACCATGTTTCTCAACACAAACTTCACATTTTGGTTAACAGCAGAATTGCTTTATATATATATATAAACATATATATATATATATATCTCCCATTTTACCTCACAGGCAGTTATAAAGATTTATATTTGAAAATCAAGACTTAGTAAGATTAGTAATTTTTACCCTTCCATCAAGGGTGTTCTTGAGTGACAGTAGCTATTTCTTTCTTCTGCTAGAGCCTGGTCTTGAAGATCACAATGACTACTAGTACAGTGTGTTACATTGCCTTTATTCATGCCGAAGCACCACTAAGTTTACTCACCATTGCTTTTGTACAATCATTGCAAATGTCCATTCGGTAGCAAAAAGGCAAATAGCACTATTTCAGTCTTATAATGGATTCTATTACTGATATATCAGTATTATGATAAAAGTAGTTTTAACTCTGCAAAATCCCTATAAGGGTCTCAGCAATCCCCCAGGGCTCTGCAGACCACATTTTGAGAAATGCTGTTCTAATTCACTCTGACCAGTATTAATATAATAACCAAGAAAAAAAGGGAGTCTTTTAAGATCCAAAAGTTATTAAGATCAAATGGGATTATCCCTAAGAAGGCATTTATAAATTATAGGCTACATTTTATTGCATAATTTAGTCATCAAAAAGAGCAATAAATCATGTCATAAAATGCAGAAATATTTCCTACTTGATTAACATAAATGACAATTTTATTAAATGACAAATTTCATTATTTTTCTAAGTGTTTTTAAGGACTCGATATTATTCTAAACAAAAACTGGTGCTCACAAAGGTATGCCTCTTTTTTTAACTAATATCTCTATTTAGCTGATAAAAAAACATATGTAACTCTAATATGTTATCATATCTGTTATTGTCATTAGTCAATCACCTAGTGATGATCCTACCTGAACATTCAGAGGCTGTCTGATGTTGAACAAAGTTCAGATCTTCATCTGACTCTTCCTCCACCATTTTTGGTTTCTCATTTTCCCCTTTATCATCATTATTGTTTCTACTTTCCTCTGCATTACTGCTGTCTGAGTTGCTCTCTTTACCAAAGTTCAAGTTGATTGCAGTATCAATCTAAAAATTATTTCCCAAGAAATCGCTTTCATAAACAATGTATTCTTTAAAACTTTACATTTCTGGACTAGTTTAATGCTAATATAAGTATATGAGAGAACATATATACATAGACTAGCGTTAGGCTATTCTAGAAATGTTATACTTTTTAATTAAATATAATTGAACAACACAAATTTGGTAACATTTTGAATCAAAGAGATATGCCCCATTTTCCAGCAATTTCCAGCAATACACAGAAGGGTCCAGAATCAATCCCAAAAAGAAGCACTCCCTGCCAGCTCTGGAGATGAGGCATGATAGTGCCTGCTCCCCGACCTTATACTCGGACGGAGAGTCAAAGGTCTAGAGCTATGCTGTCCCATACAATGGCCACTAGCCACACGTGGCTATTGAAGAGTTGAAAAGTGAAGAGTCTGAATTAAGATATGCTTCTTTTTTTTTTTTTTTTTAATTTTTATTTATTTATGATAGTCACAGAGAGAGAGAGAGGCAGAGACACAGGCAGAGGGAGAAGCAGGCTCCATGCACTGGGAGCCTGATGTGGGATTCGATCCCGGGTCTCCAGGATCGTGCCCTGGGCCAAAGGCAGGGGCCAAACCGCTGCGCCACCCAGGGATCCCAAGATATGCTTCTAATGAGATTCTTAAAGTCAGAACCACGTGCTTTGGTGATTATTTTTATGCTATTCACAGTTTTTCTGTTTCATTTTGGTTTCTCTTTCTATTTTAGCAATGCTTATTTTGAAAACACCAGTTTGGGGCAGCTGTATTTTCCTGAAAGAGAACAAGAAAAGACATCCTTGGCTGTATCAGGAAAAAAAAAAAAAAAGCAGGGATCATAATGCCCTGAGAGCTGTGAGTGGCAGTGAGAGCTAGTCACAGTGGAAGTAAACACAGCACAAGGAAGGGGCAAAACCTCAGAGACCTCAGAGAAAGAAGGAGAATCAGCCCCTTCTGGGAGGAATACTTTTTCCCTCCCAAAGGAGGAATCCAGCCCTTGGAGGGTTTTATGTTCTCTATGCATCCACGTGGCCAACTCTTGGCCACTGTAATCTCTGCCCCTAGTGAATCTCCAGGACAGAAAGTGGGTGGTGTGAAGAATAAAACTGCCAGAGAAACAGGACTACATGTGAGCATCTCTGTTCACCTGGACCAGGACATAAGTCCCAGTGGAACTGAGCATAAGTCAGTGATATAATAATCAGAGTCAACATTTACTGAGGAATTACTACTGGGCAGGCCTGGGTATTAAGGACTTTACACACTCTGCCCCTCATTTACTCTTCACAATGATGCTATGTATTGGCATCACTACCCTGATTTAACAAAGAAGAAAATACATCCAGTATTGAATGAAACCAGTGGAGGCCTAATTTATAAACAGGCAAAACAATGCCTCCTCTATGTAATCTTGGAGGTGTTAAAAACGGTTCCCTGTTCAAAAACACACTTCTGTGAAAGGCCGGGTTAAACCCTTAAATTCCGTAATACCCAGTAAATCCTTAAGGCTATACAGTTCTGTGAAAATGCTGAAATTGCTGGAAAAGATCACATGATCCCTGTCGGTTATTTATATCTTGGCATAAATGAATTTGGCCAACTTTTCCCAGAGAATGGTTTTTATATAGGGGAATATAGAATATACAAAACACTTAACTAGGGGCACCTGGGTGGCTCAGATGGTTGGGCTTCTGCCTTTGGCTCAGGTCATGATCTTAGGGTCCTGGGATGGAGCCCCATATCAGCAGGGAGTCTTTCTCCCTCTCTCTCTCTGTTTCTCTCCCTGCTTGTGTGTTCTCTCTCTCTCTCTCTCAAATGAATAAATTTAAGAAAAACATAACTAGATATTAGCAATATATTTGGATAGTACATTTCAGGACACAAAAAGATCTTTCACATACATCATCCCATATGATCCTAACTCTTAGAACGAGCAGGAAGCAATAAAGCAGCAAGATGAAACTGGAGAACAAAAGGCAAACTTTGCCCATTTTATAATTTCACCCATACTTCCCCACTCCATTGGCACCAACCATCTTTAGTTTATTTGAAAATAAACTAAAAAGAGCTTCCAGAAATTAAAGATGTATCACTAAAGGTAAAAATTTAGTTGAATACCTGTATTCAACTAAAGGTAAAGGTAAGAAAGATAAAAGAGTAGATTTGACATAGTATAAGAAAGAATTCAAAAATTTTAAAAATATATGTTAAAATTTCCCCAGGATGGGGATCCCTGGGTGGCGCAGTGGTTTAGCGCCTGCCTTTGGCCCAGGGCGCAATCCTGGAGACCCAGGATCGAATCCCACGTCGGGCTCCCGGTGCATGGAGCCTGCTTCTCCCTCTGCCTGTGTCTCTGCCTCTCTCTCTCTCTCTCTCTGTGACTATCATAAATAAAAATTTAAAAAAAAATTTCCCCAGGATGGACCACAGAGAAAGAAATGAATAGGAAATATTAAAAAGAATATAAGAGACATAAAGGATAGAGGGAAAAGTTTCAACACACATTTAATGACTTTCAGGATGACTCAAAAGGGAAAAAAGGAGGCAAAATTAGAAACGTTTGAAAAACACATGTTGAGAATGGCTGAGAATTTTCCAAAATAAACAAAACACACAAATCTTCAGATTAAAGAAGCTCTGGTCTCCAGAACGATAAGGTAATAAATCCATACACAGGTGAGTAACAGTAGATACCAAAAACAAAGAGAAAAAAAATTAAAGCAACCAGGGAAAAATATCTAAATTAGACGACCCACATTGGAATGAATATCAAATTTACAAAACCTTCTCATTGGCAACAACAGAGACTAGGTGCAAAAAAAACGTGAAACATGAGACTATAACACTTTCAGAAGAAAACATAAGAGAAAATCTTTGAAATCCTGGCTTAGACAAAGAGTTCTTGGATGCAAGAAAAAAACACAAGCCTCAAAAAATTTTTGACAAATTGCAGTTAATAAAATTTAAAATGTTTGCTCCTCAAAAGACATAGTTAAAAGAAAGAAAAGTCAAGCTATAAACTAGGAAAAAATATTTGCACATCATATATCTGACACAAGATGATTCTATCTAGGATATAGAAAGAACTCTCAAAAGTTAACAATAAGAAAAAAAAATACAATTTTAAGAGTTAGGCGAAAAACAATGAACACACACTTTCCAAAGGAGATTATGTCGACTACAAATAAGCACATGAAAACACATTCATCATTATTAGTCACCAGGAAATGATGAGGTAAAATGACAATGAGATACTACTATATACCTATTGGAATAGCTTTTTAAAAAAGTAACAATATCAACTTGTGGTGAGGATGCAAAGCAGCTGGAATGCTCATTTTTCTCACGAGAATAGAAAAGTTTTGCAGCTTCTTATAGTTAAACATACACTTACCATACAACCCAGCAATCAACTGTTAAGTATTTATCCAAGAAAAATAAAAACCTCCTCCCCCCCCAAATAATTCAGTATATAACTATTAATAGCAGCTTTAATCATAATCATCAAGACCTGCAAAAAATCTAAATGTTTCTTAACATGTGAATGGATAAACAAACTGTGGTACACCCACACAAAGGAACACTACTCATCAGTAAAAAAGAGAGAACTAGTGACACATAGAACAACAGAGGAGTCTCAAATGCATTGTGCCAACAGACAAAAGCCAGACTCAAATACCTTTTAACTCCATTCATCTGACTCTCTGGAAAAAGAAAAATAATGGTACCCAGAGAATCAGTGACTAGCAGCTTGCCTAATTTCATAATTAATAACAAAACCAGGGGTCACCTGGGTGGCTCACTGGTTGAGCGTCTGCCTTTGGCTCAGGGCATGATCCTGGAGTCCCGTGTTCGAGCCCCATATGAGGCTCTCTGCATGGAGCCTGCTTCCCCCTCTGCCTGTCTCTACCTCTAAGTATCTCATGAATAAATAAGTAAAAATCTTTAAAAAATATATTTAATATCATAAAGCTAGAAACTCTCTCCAAATTAATCTATAAAAGCAATTTCAGTCAAAACCCCAAGAGCAATTCCACAAGACTTGAAGAACCAATCCAATACAAAAAGAACAAAAAGCCAAAACTAGCTAATACCATTCTAAAAAAGAATAAGATGGAGAAATCCCTCCTACCAAATATCGAGAATAATCACACAACTAACAAGAGTTTACACACACTAATGATGCAGGATTAAATGAAACAAAACAGAGACCTGAACTAGACATGGTATTTTAGCAAGCCACTGGCAGTTCTGGACACATGTTAGAATCATCCCATTAGATGCATCTGCACGAGATTTAGACTGCAGATGTGAAGTAGAAGCCATCTTCCCAAGCTCCTGATAGGAAATTGGCAGGAAATACCAAAGGCACTGGACCATTTTCTTATACCATACACAAAAATAGGCCCAAAATGGATGAAAGGCCTAAATGGGAGACAGGAATCCATCAAAATCGTAGAAGAGGAAAACACAGGCAGCAACTTCTTTGACCTTGGCCACAGAGACTTCTTGCTAGAGACATCTCCAAAGGCTAGGGAAACAAAGGCAAAATTGAACTATTAGGATTTCATCAAGATAAAAAGCTTTTGCATGACACAGGAAACAGCAGACAAAACCAAAAGACAATCTACAGAACGAGAGAAGATATTTGCAAATGTCTTATCAGATAACGGACTAGTATCCAAAATCTATAATGAACTTAACCAAACTCAACACTCAAAGAACAAATAATCTAATTAAGAAATGGGCAGAAGACATGAATAGATATTTCTCCAAAGAAGACATGGAAATGGCCAACAGACACATGAAAAACTGCTTATCGTCATTCAGCATCAGGGAAATACAAATCAAAACCACAATGAGATGCCATCACACACCAGTCAGAAGAGCTAAAATTAACAAGTCAGGATATGATGAATGTTGGCAAGGATGTGGAGAAAGGGGGACCCTCTTACACTGTTGGTGGGAATGCAAGCTGGTGCAGCCACTCTGGAGAACAGTATGGAGGTTCCTCAATAAGTTGAAAATAGAGCTCCCCTATGACCCAGCAATTGCACTACTGGGTATTTACACCAAAGATACAAATGTAGTAATCCAAAGGAGCACCTGCCACCCCAATGTTTATAGTAGCAATGTCTACAGTAGCCAAACTATGCAAAGAGCACAGATATCCATCAACAGATGAATGGATTAAGATGATGTGGCACATATATATATGTCTGGAATATTACTGGAATATTACTCAGCTATCAAAAAAATGAAATCTTGCCACTTGCAACAATGTAGATGGAACTAGATAGTATTATGCTAAGTGAAATAAGTCAATCAGAGAAAGACAATTATATGATTTAGATTCCATTTAATTCCACTCATATGTGGAATTTAAGAAACAAAACAGAGGAGCATAGAGGAAAGGAGGGAAAATAAAACAAGACAAAATCAGAGAGGGAGACAAACTCTAAGAGACTCTTAATCATAGGAAACAAACTGAGGGTCTCTGGAGGGAAGGAGGGTGAGACATGGGGTAACTGGGTGATGGGCATTAAGGAGGGATATAATAAGACTGATGAATTACTGACCTCTACCTCTGAAACCAATAATATATTATATGTTAATTGAATTTAAATTTTAAAAAATATTTTGTTAAAAAAAGAAATACCAAAGGCAGTCATCTCTAGTATGTCTAGTCACCAGTATGTGGTTCTGAGGGACTTGTGGCAGTGTCAGGGAGCAGAAGCCTTTGTGATCTCTGGATTTTGGTCATGCAGGCATGACCTAGGAACCAACAATCCAGGGAAGTCTGCTCCCATGATTTCCTTTCCTGCTAGCCTTCCACTGATTTTTCAGAAGCTGAATTTCTGTATCCAATCTCTGCTGGAAATGCCTAGAGTGCTTTCTATTTCCTGCAGCAAATCATAACAGACAAACACTCTGAGTTTTATAATGTATAATTTAGTCCATAAATCAAAAGAATAAATAAGTATGAGTTCATAAGCTAGCAAAGATTTTTTTTTTTTACCATGAGTGAACTTGGTTTGCTACAAATTTTTGTTTGCTATAAGCTTAAAATAAGTAGTCCCATGTTGCAGATGAAAAAAATGATTCCTGGGGTGCCTGGATAGCTCAGGTGGTTAAGCATCCAACTCTTGGGTTCAGCTCAGGTCATGATCTCAGGGTCGTGCCCAGAATCAGGCTCCCAAAATCAGTAGAGAGTCTGCTTGAGATTCTCTCTCCCTCATCCTTTGCCCATCCTGTTCATGCTCTCTCTCTCTCTCTCTCTCTCAAATAATCTTAAAAAAAAAAACTGATTCCTTAAAAAAATCAAGTTTAGATATTTTAGGAAAAGAAAAAGAGACTACTAAAGAACAGAAAAAGTCAGGCCAGGTAAGGTACCTACTAAATGTATACCACATGGTCTTTGACTCAAACTTTATTTTTAAAACTACAGGACCTTTTTCATATTAAGAGTCAATGGTGGCATAATAGGTATTGAAATACAAAGATTTCTTATGAAAAATAAAGAGTTTACAAATGAGCATTAGCAAAGTACAACTATGAACAAATAGGTCACCCTCCTAAAAAAGAACAAAAGAGGGGGAGGAGGAGGTAAAGAAGGACACAGGATTTTCATATTAAATGACCTAAAGTAAAATCCCAAAAGAAATCCATGAGTGCTCCCAGAACATACCCTCTGAAGAGGATTCTTGAAGTGGGATGTTAACAACAGCCTAGAGCTCAGGAGAAGGACCTGAAATCACTTGTAAACAGCAAAGTACCTTGAAGGATGCTGGTTCCGGTGAGAGCACCTCCAAAGAAGTACTTGAATCTCTGCTCCCAGGACGTGTTCTTGAATTGGAGGCTGGTTTTGAAATTCCATCTAAGTTTCCCTTTATAATATCCATTGATATCCTGAAACAAACAAGAAATTAAAGCAAGTTATGACCTGTATGCCTACATGTTTCATCAGTGTTAATGTGCAGTTAACTCAGAATCTTAGTTAATAAAGATTAGGTTGCTACCAAAGTCACACTTCATCAGTCTCGTTTCATTGAAAGACATCTGCGTCCAAGGATTATGTTACTGTAGGCAGAAAACATTCATGCCAGGATGTTAGATTCGGAAAGTGGCTAAAAAAAGAATGCAGAGTGACTGCTGCCTCAGTGGCTTCTTGTGCCTTCAGAAGAAACATTTACTGTGTCATTGGCCTGAGAAGACACTGGTGGAGCACCAAGCCTCTCAACCCAGATTCACTTCATCTACTTTCTTCCAGTTTTGCCTCCCATAAAATATCTAGCACTTCCTCTTCTAGCTCAGCTCTCAGCCTGGACTCTCCTCTCAGCTCTGACTTCTCCTCTCCTCCCTGGTGCCACATTTTCATGGATCACCCATTTGAGGTCACTACTCTTTTCTATCCACCCTCCACTTTTTTTTTTTTAAGATTTTTATTTATTTATTCATGAGAGACAGAGAGAGAGAGAGAGAGAGAGAGAGAGAGAGAGAGGCAGAGACATAGGCAGAGGGAGAAGCAGGCTCCATGCAGGGAGCCCAATGCCCAATGCAGGACTTGATCCTGGGACTCCAGGACACTGAGTTGAAGGCAGGCGCTCAACCACTGAGCCACCCAAGTGTCCCATACCCCCAACTTTTAAAGCCCATGATTCTACTTCACCCACGGAAACAATAAAACAAATCCTACTTTCTCTGTGAGAGGACAGATCCTGATTATCTGGCCATGACTTGCCAACTTCTATTTTTCCTGTGACCCCATCCACAGGCCTGTGACCACGCTGGCTCCCTAATTATTCCCTGTGCTGCTTTGCAAAGCAGGAATTATTAGGCAGGGTGGTTCAAATTCGTGGGAGAATTTGGGCATTATGGGTACCTGGATTCTTGCAAACTGTGCCCTTGATCAGGACCATTCCAGATCTGCTCAGTAATGTTGGGGTATCGTGCACGCTGAGAAAAGGGAAGAAATAAGGAGAATGCCAGATTGTGCCTTCTTGTATTTAGCTTTATATGTAAATGGATCTTCCAACAATCCTTCCCTAAATTTTATGATTTCCCTAAATTCCTATTGATTATGAATGAAACCATCTCTCTCATAATAGAAGGAGGAAAGGCAATTGCCCCTGGCCCCAGCGAGTGTAACAGTGTTCTTTTTTTTTTTTTTACCCTACAAAATGACTCATCCTTCTTTCTTTTTTTGAACAGCAGAGGCAGAGTCCAGGGAAGGTTTGGATACAGGAAGAAACACCAACATGGACAACAGGTCGCTTCTCCAAGGCGCACGTAGGGTAATATGATCTGGCCTCCAACCATTCAGTGTGCCAAAGCTGATGCTTCAGGGACCACTAGGTCAATTCTTTCCATCTTAGCAAATGAAAAAGGCATTGATCTCAACAGTATTCAAACTCTGCAAAAGGGTCTGGGCTCTGCTGGGAAGGCGCTGACATTATTATTGTGCGATGACAGATTACCCTGGCCCATCACGTCACAATCAAAAAGCGTAAGTCATTGAAAGGCCAAGTGTCTTGTAAATGCCGTGGGCAGCCTGTTGAGGGAGACTTATTATAGCTCACAGAGGGAGCAATGAGATGGAAGCATCTGTAGAGCCGTATGATACTTGTAAGGGGAGAAGCAGCACAGAGAACCATCAGTGGCATGGAGCATCTAAAAGGCCCCTGAAATCTTTCCATTTGCTTTAGAAATAAAGCAAATGTTCTATTATGTTTGTTCCTGAAAATAATAGATTAATAAAATACAGTTCCCAGGGTGGGTGGGGATATAACTGACAATCTTATGACTCTACTTATGTAGAAGAAAGTACTAGATTAAGGGCATTGAATTAGGATCTCATAGACGTATTTGAATGTTTAAGGAGAAATCTCAATAGCCACATAGAAGTTCCACAAGAAAAATAAAGCATTGTCAAAGAAAGTGACCAAATGATAATTACTTATAATTACAGAAGCACTAAATGTTGATTTAACTAAATACTGTGTATGTGGGGAGGAGTATATAATAGGAGAAGTAGTATAAAATATCCAATCTGTCATAATAGGAAATCAAAGAGAATGTCCAGAAATTGATAAAACCAAGCAATAGTTAAATAAGCATAATATTTATGAGTTCAGGATGGTTGCCTCTGGAGGGTGAGACTAGGAATTGCTTTTCTTCCATTGTAAATGTTAAAGTTTGACATTTTTTATTATGCTACTTTAATAAAAGTAAAACCTAATTTTTTAAATAATGAATAAATGTAAAATAAGAAATCTCCAAGGAACTGAAAGGAAATATAAAGATGATTTACATAAGTTAATGACTTTTTAAACACAACACCAAGAGCATAAACCAAAAAGGAAGACACTAATAGATTTGATCACATAACATTTAGTGTTCTTGAATGCCAATAAACAAGCAAAAAAGAACTCTAAATTAAATCAAAAGGCACCTGAGAAACTACAGAAAATATAAGCAACACAGATGATATACAAAAGGCTAATGAATTTACATATCTAAAGAAATCTTACCAATCTGTAAGAAAAAGAAACATTCCAATAGAAAACTGGCTAAGGACATAAACAAGGAATTCAGAAAGGAAAGAAGAAGGGAAGCAAGGAAGGAAGGAAGGAAGGAAGGAAAAGAAAGAAAGAAAGAAAGAAAGAAAGAAAGAAAGAAAGAAAAGAAAGAGAAAAGAAAGAAAATATCTTGCTAAATGTCAATATCTTGCTAAAAAAAAAAGAAGTTCAATTCTTTAATTAAAGGAATATACACAAAGGGACCTGAGAGATGATCACAAATCAGGGAATAACAGAGATGGGTTCTTCTGGATTGGTGGGTTCATGGATATTTCTGGTCTTTTATTTTACCTTTTTGCTTATCTGTATTTTCTGATTTTCTACTAAGTATATCTTGAATTCATAATTAAATAATTTATTGTAGAAAAATGTCTACAATATATTAAAGTATATTTTATTAAAAATAAAATCACCCAATATTCACCACTCTGACCTAAACATTGTTGGTATGTTTCTTACCCATTTTTGCTCTATGTGTTTCCACCAAATTGCACTCACATATTTCACACTTAATATCACATGATGAAGCATTTGCTTATTGCAGTAAAGGTACTTCCAAAATAAAATATTATTTACTTCATGATATTCCATTAAACAGATGATATAAAAAAATAAAAAATTAAAAAATAAAAACAGATGATACATGACCAGATTCTAAATCTTAACAAATCACTAACACATACCAACTTTTTATAACATTTACTACAAACATGATTAAATTTTTTTCTTAAGATTTTATTTATTTATTCATGAGAGACACAGAGAGAGGCAGAGACATAGGCAAAGGGAGAAGGAGGCTTCCTGCAAGGAGCCCAATGTGGGACTTGATCCCAGGACCACGCCCTGAGCCAAAGGCCCACCCTCAACCACTGAGCCAGCCAGACATCCCAAGATTAAGCTTTTTCATACAGGCTTGTAAGAAATGCAATCACCATGGATCACTTAAAACCAAAATGGGGACATAAAACCAACATGGCTGCCATAATTTGGTATTTGGGGATGAAAGGAAGAATTGAAAGAAAATGAATCCTTGTCTACTTAGTAATAACAAATAGCCAGACTTTTTTTTAAAAAAAAGTGGAATTGTATTTATTTTCATAATCTTAATGTTTAAAAGTTATTTTATGGTAGTTTTTTTATTTATATATTTATGTAAGAAATACTTGTCCATGAGAAGCAGAAAGTCAAATAATATAGAAGAATAAAATTTTTAAGGTCAAAATTTCCAGGGTGCCTGGGTGCCTTAGTTGGTTGAATGTTAGCCTTGGTTTTGGCTCAGATCATGATCTCATGATCTGGAATGAGCTCCAAGTCTGGCTCCCTCACCTGGGGAGTCGGCGTGAAGATTCTCTCCCTCTGTCTCTCATGAGGGCGCAGTATGAATGCGCCTGCTGTAATAAATAAATCTTCAAAAAAATTTTTTTTAAGTCAAAACTTCCCTCATTCCCAAGCCACTGTCAATAGACTTGGGGGATCTCACTTTTTTTAGGGATATGCAAGCCTTCGATCCTTCATACCTCCCTTCTCCTCCCCAGCACACACACCAATGGCACACACAATTTTAAATTAACCTCTTTGTGTGAATCTTTGTTGTTATGCTTACATGCCCAGATGATAAACTATGCTGAGTCAAAGAAAACTTGCGTTTCAACCTTTGGTAGGACGCCACACTGCCCACCAAGAAGGTTGTACAAAAAAATTACACTACTTTCAACAGGGTATGATGAAAGTGCCTCTTTCCTCATTTTGGTCTGGGGTCATCTGGTTTCCATCAAAGCTGTTTCATCTCTGTCAATCTGGTGTCAAAGATATCTCTGGATCTAATTTGCATTTCTTTAATGATGAGAGAAACCCAGTCTCCAGCCAAATGTTTACTGGCCACCATTCCCCCACCCCCACCCCATGACGTGCCTATTCGCATCCTTTGCTATTTACGTTCTATTTCAAACGACTGGCGGTTAATTTTTAATGTCAGTTTTAGATCCTAAGGGCCAGAAGGCACAGGACAGTAGGAGTCCTCCATAGAGGTCCTAAGGTCGGGAATCTTGGCAGCCCCGCCTAGGAAATCTCGGCGATCGTCTTGGTGGAGGCGGCTGCCTCGGTCCGCACCTGGCAGGCCTGCTCCCTCCCAGGCCCCGCCCCCCAGGCTGGGCCCGCCCCCTCCTGGCCCTGCCCCTTCACCCCAACAGCCAGTCTCCGGGCCCAGCAGCCTGACACGACTCCGCCCCGCCCACTCATTGGCCCCCGCCCCTCAGCCGCCTGACGCGACTCCGCCCCGCCCACTCATTGGCCCCGCCCCTCTGCCTGCCGGCCCGTGGGCGGTC